GAGCTCACATTGAAAAACATAATTTACCAGAACACCATAGCAAGAAATGTTGAACAAACATACCAGATGATCAAGCTCTCTTTCCATGTCTGTGTTCAAGAGTGATTGATAACCCTCACGACCACCCCAAAAGACATAATTTTCTCCCCCTAGATAATGTGTCAACTATAGTAGGAGCAAAGCAGCGTATAAAGCAAATATCAGAAATAAGACCAATGCAATTGTAAACTAAATGCACAAAAATGGACCAAGTTTCTTCTCGATGTTATATGAGAAAAACACCCACCTCCATGGCTTTCTTGACTTGAGCAGCAGCATATGCATATACACCCACTTCAGAGCTACCAAGCAAACATAGAAGCAAGTATTAAGTTCATCAAGGGACAAACAGATCTTGTTCTATACAGGATATACTAAGGATATATGCAGACTACTCAATTAAGGAAACCTGGTAGCACCACCATGCATGTAACGTGGATGCATAAATAGTTGAGCTGTACCCCACAAAGGACGGATTTTGTCTCCCTTCATAGTCAAGTAAAAGAGATGTTTAGGAAACAGATAGCTTAGTCAAGTTTCAAACAAGAAAAACTTATCAAACAGATTATATTGAAGACCAACATGCAAGTATAATTAGTCACACCAAAAAAAAAAATGGCAAAACAAGGTGCCAAATTATTTTGAGCAATTTGAAATTTGTGGCACAAATTTTTCATGCCATAATTAGATCTTAGTTTTGATTACAAGAGCACAAATAGCTAAAAAATGAGAGGCCCAGACCCCAATAGCAATCTTTCTCCATTCTCAAATTCAAAATATACAACTTTAAGTTTTACTATTCTTTGCCACCTCCAGGTATGCAATCAAGCACTCAATGAAAACAAGTAGGAAGCCAATTGCCAAGAAAATTCAATGGTCTCTATTCCTTATATTAGAGAAGTAGAAAATTACAGAGCAGGTGAATTCACTATTTGTGTTCTATAAATATTTATCCTTCACGTTACTCATTGCTGAGAATCCATCAAAAGTGACTTATCGTTATACTTCTTCCACAAACAATAAACTAGTTCAATCTGTTTAGGTTACATGCATATGTCCAACGTAAATGACATGGGCGGCCTGGTTAAAAACAGGCACAATGCCTATTACCTGTGTGATATTGATTAATAAATCTAGACTGTAAAATAAACAAACTAAAAACAAATAAGTAAATACGTTGTAAAGAGATCCAATCTGGGATGTTCAAGAACATAAAGAATTATTGAAAGAAATAAAAGCAGGTTAGGTACTTAAGTCTCTGCTTAAGTAAGACGGCATCCATTCAAAACTTTTTTGCACATTCAGCCAGTTACCTGAAGTTCTTTAGCAAGGGCCACCACTTCATCCAAGTTTGAATTAGTTTCCTACAAAAAACACAATAAAAAAAGATTGACAGACAATGTTCCAAAGCAATAGGAGGGCTGCCGAGACAGTTTAGTAAAAACCCAGTTCATTTCCAAGCATTCAAATATAAAAGCAACTTTAAAAATCAATAAGAAAACTATCTGACCTCTAGTGTTTTGCCATCCGGAGCAATGTCCCTGTCATGAAAACACCACCTATCAATGCCAAGCTTTTTAATGAATTCGAAGTTGGCTCTCACTGCAATTGTTTCAAAAAGGAGCAAAAAAAAAAATTAATGCATGCTGTGAATTAGTATTAATAAATAATAAGAGATAGGTGGGCAATAATTATCAATCTTACTTCTTCGTTTGGCCATAGCAATGGAATTGGTACCATCTTCCCAAGGCCAAAACTTTGTGGGTGCACCAAAAGGATCAGCACCTGTCCCACGGAATGTATGCCAAAATGAAACACTGAATCTCAACCAGTCCTACACCATTCATAACTAGTCAGCAACCATCAACACCTTGATAAATCTCATACAAGTTAAGAAAGAAAATTAACCTTCATTTTCTTTCCAAGAATCTCCTCTTCTGGATTGTACCATTTGTATGCAAGTGGATTCTTGCTAGAAGGACCCTGAAGTCAAAATTACTGTTAAATGTCATATGTTCGAATAATTAAGCTATGGCAATCACATCTATGATTGCTTTGAGAACCATATTTCTAATTTCTAATAAAATATTCCGAAAAGAGAAAGAGATAATATGTCAGTAGTAACAAAGTATACAAATAAGACCCTTTAAATTTTTTATTCACCAACACATTCACAATATTTTTGACATATATTGGGATGTAAGCCTTTACCTCATACTTAATTTTGGGAATTCCAGGGAAAAATTCCCCTTCCCACTCATCATCTTCAGCAAATTTTCCACCAAGATCAGCAGGGCATGTTTGTGCAGCATTCTGCATGCAAAAACAATTCCAATTCAGATAAAAATTGGAAAAAAATTAAGTAACATAATATCTACATAAAGAATACATATAAACATTACAAAAGATGTTCACAAAAAAAAAAAAAAATTGCAATGGAAGGTTTTTTACCACTATAAGAGAGACCACATTGATACAAAGAAGTAGTAATAAAATCCTCCCAGCCATACTTTTCTTCTATAATATCATGAAAACTAAACCCTGAAAAAACAGAGCCAACCAAACAATTAAATACTAATAATATAATAAAAATCAACCGATAATTACCCCAAAAATTAAGCACATAGAATTTGGGAGAGCATCAAAAGTTTAAACATGAAATTATCAAAAAAAAAAGAAGAAAAATTTAGGGTTTAAGAATCAGAAAATAATAGCCTACACTGATTCATGAAGATAAGGAGACAAAATTAAGCTGGCAGCTTAAAATTTTTTTTTTTTTTAATGATGAATACCTGTCATCAGCTATCACATAAAACCAACAAAAACATTAAAAATAATGAATTTTGACAAATACCCATAATCAGATATCACATTGTTAATCTCAAAAAAAATTCTTTTTTAATTTAAAAAAAACCCATCAACGAAAAAAAAAAAAAACCTTGAAAATCGAAAGAAAAAAAAGCTGAGAAAGCGATCTTACGGATTTTGACAGAAAGAATGGATTTTGAAAAGAAAAAAGAAAGCTAAAGCCAGAAATCGAGAGGAGTCAGTGTTTATAGGTTGAATTCAGAATGATTTTTGTTTTGGATAAGGATAGTTACGTACATCAATGCCAGTTCTCAGGTTTTCTTTTATTAGTCTTTTAACTATTAGTATTAATTAATATAATTTAGCGTAATACCTAAATTTCATATTATCCGGGAAGGAAGATTTGGGAGTGGATTTCAATAATTGTTGTAGGTTTAAGATCCTAAACATATTTATTTTCTCTCCTGAAACTTATTTATTATTATTTTTTTTGGTAAATTTAGTATACCCGTAAGAGATTAGCTCTAATATTAAAATGTTTTCTTTTTTTATCAATTTGGATTCAATTTATATTTGAAATATTATTTATTTTAGAGTGAAAATAAAAAATCTTGAATGTATGAAATTTGGTACCCAAAATATACTTTGAAGGTCATTTGAATAAGGGATTAAGGTTTTTTTTTTTTTAAATACTAGTAATTTTATTATTATTATTATTATTATTAATTTTTTAATAAAAATTATTAATTATTATATTATATTTTTAATTAAGATTATTTTCAATCCAAAATGCTCTACTTTACAATGACCCGATTTATATCTAATCCAACATATTATATTAAACTTTTATATCTAATTGATGAATCAAAATAATTCAAATTCAATTATTTAAATTTAAATAATTTAAATATCAAATTCAAAAAATTCGAATCTTGAATATGGAAGGATTTGGGCTTAAACCGATTCAAGTCGAAAATAACTTCAAATTTTTTTCAAATTAAAATGACCCATACCTAACCTATCTTGTCTGATTGACGCTGTACCTCTAGTTGAAAAACACTAACCCCCTCAGCTGTCCATGTCAATCCAATCACGACACGGGTTGGTTATCAAAATACTAGCCGGCCCAAAGTACGGTTAGACAAAAGAGCTGCCCGATTGAACCGAACCTAATGGCCCAATTGCATTCAAATGTACCCTAATCAACCGTAACCGACGCCAAAACGAACTTGAGGCTTGGGGGTTTTAAATTAAACCGTCTTATTCCATGAAAAAAGTTCGTGGCGGCATGTTGTGAGTTGTTGCGGACGCAATTGAAGTCTTAATCCTTCATTCGAATATAGCATTAACTGCTCGATGTCGATACCAATCAACGAGTTGCGAGAAATCCTGGTGATGTACATCCTTTCAAGGCTTCCCGTCAAGTCCCTATTAGATTCAGGTGCGTTTGCAAACCCTGGAACGCTTCTTTTAAACCTCCTATTTTATGATCAACAACCATAGAAACGGCAACCTCAATCTCCTCGTTACACGTTTCGACAAGCTTCCTTACTTCTCCATGCTTTCAACTGAAACGAAACCAAGAAAATGATGAACACGTCGAGTTTAATCTGAACGTGAAAGAGAATAATCCACATGCTGATCACGATATGTGATACTTGTCAACTAAAAGTGTTCGGACCCTCTGATGGCTTACTTTGTTTGTTTGATTACAATCGAATTACCCTTTGGAATCCTTCCACCAGAGAAGTCAAGCTTCTTCCTGAATCCACTATCTCACGTCCTGCTTCGGCAGATTGCACCAATTTTGGTTGCTTTAGTTTAGTCTTGAGTCTCTTGACAGCAAGTTTTTTCTTTCTTACTACTTCAGGCGTTAAGTTTTATCTAGATGTTGTCAATATGTTTTTTTTTTTTTTTAATTTCCTAATTTACCGTTAATTCCTCAGCCTTTATATTTACAAGACGACGTAATGCGTCTGAACTTATTCGAACCTACAATTTTTAAGTTTCGCAAAAATTTTATGTCAACTGATCCAAGCATCAATCAGTTGTCTATAACCTTTTTTCTTATGAATAAACTTCTTTAGCTTAGGCCAAAAAAAAAAAAAAAAATTTATAGAAAAAAATAAATAGAGAATGGAAAAAGATGCTGCCAAAGCCCAAAAGAACTCATCAATGCTGATTTATTAAGGAATCATTAAAGCAACAGTACGATACTCTTAAAAGCCACATGCCAACACATTTAGGCAATGAAGAAACAACCACGGAATTAAATAGAAGAGAGCATTCTTCAATATAAAATTCAAAGGCATTTAGCAGGATTTTAAGCTTGTCCACTCATTTGCCCTTTTGCTAACACACCAAGTAACACATCCTTGTAGGCTCCCTTAACTCTCTCCTCTATCTTGTGGGCAAATTTATCGCTTATTCCTTTCAAATTTCCAGCTTCTTGGGTTGAAACCAATCGAGTTAATGCTTTTTTATCATCCTCATTTGCATCTTCTCTGAGAGCTGTTTCGAAAACCTGAAACGGAAGACAATAGATCAAAAAAACTTACTTGTATATTCAAATGTATCTTTTACACTTTAATTTCGGAAATGTCAGTCAAACAGAATCTTAATAATCTTACCTTGGTGAAATATGTATGAGGGGTGCACAGGCATTCTATTGTTTCTTTCAAGAGTATCTCAGCTTCAAGACCCTAAGCAAATTAAGCAATATAGAAGTGTTAAAATTTTAGTGTTTAGGCCAATTGTTTTTATTGCCAAAGGTTTAATAATAATGATGCTATATGAGTATATAATTAATGCAAATCCATATAGGGTAACCTCAGTGATGGTCTTGCCAGAAATTTTCTTGTATTGTTGATAGACTTCCCTGAGATGAGGCTTGCTCCTTGTGGTTAGAATCCTGATCACTTCCTCGTCCTCGATAGGTTTCCTCTTATCGCGATTGTTGATTGCTTGTAAAAGTTCTTTGGCCTCTGATTTTGCGGTGTCTTCCTTGACCTTTGGTCCTTCATACCTATAAGCACTCACCAGTGCCACTAAGAGCTGTACCAAGAACAAAACAAACTAATTATTGAGACAGCACTTTGGGTTGCAAAGTGTTAAGATTGGAACAGATTCAAGCTCTTTAGCTGTTAGATGCTAACTTTTAAAGGTGGTTATATAAATCAACTGAGTAAAATTATAGGTTGTACCTATACTTTGATATAGATTTGGAGCAAGGAAAAGAAACAATCTAATGTGAATATGGTGCAAACCTTGCGCTCAGTTCCCTTCACGTGGGTAGCAAGATCTTCCTCAATGGATCGTTCAAAGAGGGAGTGGTACGCCTTTCTTGCTCCCAACAGCTCATCAGATGATCTGGTGCATGCTATTTCTACGATTACGCCATATAGCTGGGGGCCCTTCTTCAATGCCTTTTTCAACAACCGAGCATCCCTCTCCCACGGATGCATCAGAGAAAGCATCACAGCATCCTAAAAATATTATAGAGTAGAGAAGTCAAGGTATATGCATCATCCATGATTTATTTTTTTATAAAATGTCGAAATCATTTTACATAATCTCCCCTTCTTCAAATAAAAATTTTTTTTTTGTTGAAACCGTTTTATATATCCATCTCCCAAGTTTAAGGCTCAAATCTCCCTTTCCATAAAATTCCTCATACGTATAAAATTAATTAAATTATTAAATAAATGTAATTGATAAGCAGGTGATATTTCATCTGGGAAATATAAAAGCCTAACAAAAAGAAGACAAAAGCATAATAATGAATGAATTAAGCTGAGTGTGCATATATAAGTATACTTTAAACCGCTTGAATTCAACTTTGAGATTTTTGATGGCAGAATCGTCCCACCGCTCAAATTGACGTTCGTCCTCGATGAAGAATTGGGAACATCCTTTCCTGATAAATCTCTTGTGCTCATGGTGTGTTTTTGTCAATATTGATATTAATGATTTCTCATCCACTCCAATTCCTAATTTAATGAAGAAAAGTTTTATAATTTTCACTCATAGTATATAAAAATAAACTCATAATGTAATGCCAAATAATAAGAACATTAACTTTCACAATGATTTTGAGTTGTAAAATTGTATAGTACTACTCGTAAAGACCACAACTATGGACAATGTCAAATCACAATATTTGGCTGACTACATTTTCCAGCTTAATTATAATGCAAAAACTAATTAATCCAAATGGAGAAAGGAGACAAATAGGATTTTGAAGCTTTACATTTGGTAAAATGAGGCGAAAAAGAAATTAATAATTAATTCACAAATTCCATTTGGTGAATTCATTAAAAAAAAAAAAAAAACCCATGACTTCATATGTTTCACTATCACATAGTTACTACCTAGAAAGAAATTTAATTGATGATACCAACTGCAAAAAAGGAAGGATTAATATGAAAAGATTGAAAAAGGAAATATAAGTTTGGAGGAAGGAAAATGAAGAACCTGACAAGGCTTTGTTGAGAAGTTGTACATCAGCTGGATGGGCCATTTTCTTTGTTTTGGAGTTATGCAGTGTGGAGAGAAAGAGTCGTAGTATTACTAATGCAATGAAAAGAAAAGGTGCCATGCTAACCCCGAAACGCCCTACATTTATATAAACCTTAGAGGTTATTTTCGTCATTAACTTGTTCAATTTTAGGGTATTTTTGGAAATGAATTTCGAAAGGGAAGAAAAAAGAAAAGGAAAAGAAAAAGCTTGAAAAGAGAGAATAAACAAACAACAATAAAAATTGGTATTAATAAATAATATTAAAATGATATTCACCCTTGCTGTACAATTTGAAAGGCAAATGCAAATTAATATAAAACTTGAAAGAGCAAGAAGTCAATATTATTTTCCTGCTTTATTTTTTTTCTTGCAATCTTCTTTTTTAATTGGGGTAAGGAGAAATTGAAACTCAACTTTTTGTACAAGTAGATACATATATCTATAATTAAATGAAATATTTTAATTATAAAAAATCGTAATTTGAAAATAAAAAAATATTATAACTGCTAGAATTTAAATATCAAGCACATTGAATATTATTTCTTAAAAATAATTATATAAATCAATTGAATTAAAATTTTTTTACAAATTCAATCTATACATTACAATTTATATATTTATCGAGCCCTTTTTGTGTATTTTTCAAATGATTAAATAGTCTAATAGATAGCTGTGTCTTATCAGTGCTTATATCTTGTAATATGAATTTTTGAGGTTTACTTTTTGCATCATTTTGATTTATTTTGTAGATACATTATAATTTTTTTAGTTTTTCTTAAATATAAAATGCTTTTGAATTAAAATTAAATTATCTTTTAATATCTTATTGTTTTATTATAATCAATTGAACTATAAAATATATATTTTATCCAATTAAACTTTCAAATAATTATTTTAGCCCAATTGAACCTTTGATTAAACGAAAATTAATCAAATAGGTTGTTAGAAAATATTTCAAAATATGAAAATATAATTAAGTAATAATTTAATGAAAGAGGAATTATGTTAAGTTAATAAATAACTTAAGACTTGGTTCTTAACATCAATAATAATATGATTCTAGACTTGAAAATATAATCGATTGCTCTATGTGAAAAATTATAATTTTTAAAAATATAAAAAATGATTTTTTTATATAAAATTTTGATTATTCATATAAATAAATATGTCTATAATCTTTCAAAGAAACATATTTTTGATCAAAGGGAAGTGATTTTTTTATTGAAATAATATAATAAAAAATCATAACCTTAAGATTCAATCCCTATAAATAAAGATTAATGTCAGTTCATTGGATACAACTCTATTGAGCAATAACTCTTTTCTTTCTCCTATCCTTTCTCAATTAAAAGCAAGTTTCTTTGGTATTGTTTACTGCAGATGAAAACCTTGTTAAGACAATGTATCTCCTTTCTTACTAAGGAGTATTTAGTAGCTTATTTTACCAATGCAAAGTAAGAACAAATAAGATTTCACTGTATTTTAGAAACATTTCGATTCATTCTTTTAGCAAATTATAACTAGTTGAGATGAAATAAATCTTAAGTAAAGTGGCATTTGGAGTACGCATTGAAGTCATTTTATCCGCGATCGAAAGTCCAAATTATTTTACTGCAACTACAAAACAAGAAAATTTGATCTAAGAGAATTTTGCAAATTCATCGATTCAACATCAATTCTATATATTCCTATTTTGTACTATTATATATCCTTTTGATCAATTTCTCTTTCACATAAAGTTTTCAACAGCAAATTATTCAAAGAAAAATTAAAGTGGGTAGGTATTTTCCATGTAATTAAAATGAATTGATTGGCCATGAGAATAATTAGGTAGAATGTGGCTCTCATTCCTTTTTTCTTACATTAAAAATCTCAACCAAGTTTGTTGGGTGTGAATTCATCTATTTTAGGGATTGAAATTGGGACCAAAATGAAAGCTACACAATCTTACATCTTCAAACAAATTAATTCATTACTAAACGCCAAAAAAATTAAATTCAAGAAAAACCAAAACTATAACAATATAGGTTTGAGTTTTTCATCTAAACTTTTTTTTTTCTTATAACAAGTGTTTTGCTAATATTAGAAAACTTTTATTCATAGAATTTAATATTTTTCTTAATTAACCTAACTAGTTGAGGTATATATAGAGATGGCGAGAATTTAAAAATCTCAAGTTTGAATTTTTAAGAAAAGAAAGACTGAATTTGTGAAATGAAAAAGAATTATTTTTATTTATAAAATGTAAGATTGATTAAGCTTAATGAACTTCTATATTTACGAAAAAAAATGCTGAGAAGGTATAAAAGATCATACTTTTGAACCATGTTTTTTTTTTTTTTAAATAATAAATATCTTCGATTTGTGGTGATTTTATATGTGAATGATACGCATGTCATGATACCTTTAGTTGTTGGGGATAAATTGGTCATTAAATTTTTTCCTTTTCTTTTTGAAAAGCACGTATGTTTTAATTATAGAAAAAAAAAAAAAAAAGAAAAGCAGTTGCATGTGCATGCCAATAGCTTGCTTTTTTTTTTTTTTCTCAATTTAACTGCATAAATAATTCTCTTTTTCTTTTGGATATTATACTAATTAGCAAATTGATTTTATTCATTTCATGGTGAGATGAACGTGATGCCACTTTTTAATTATTTATTATTAAGTTGAAAATTTATGCATGGACGTCTATTTTAATAAATAATTGATTAAATAGATGCATGTTTATTTTTGTCATAAAAGTTTAAGTGATGGAGGCTACTTTATTTTAGGGTTAGGACATATCTTAAGTTTTAATGAAAATTTATATTAAATTTATAAATTATTTACAAAAAAAAAAATTATGTAATGAGAGTCGAATTGAAACCTTACAAATAAGATATCTAGTCTTAACCAATTCGACCAATTACATCGATATTTATGTATACTTATTAATTATGTATACTTCGTCATGAAGCAACATATTAAAAATTTCTTTAAGGAGATGTTACCTAAATCTTGCCTTTAACGTAAATTAGAAAGGCGATTCCTCTTTTTGCAAATTCATTAAACTATATATATTTAGCCACGGTACAGTTGCCTTTGAAATAAATAAATTCATTAACTATATATTTATTTATTTATTTATTGAGTCACTCACAATGATCACAGGGGTCTATTCTTGCTTCTTTATGATGTATCTAAATTAGTTTATTAGCCAAATTTCAATGATAATGACACTCAGAATCGAAGAAACCATACAATTTAATCATTTAAACTTTAAATTCATGCTTTTCATGCCTTATAATAATCTAGTCTCGTGAAACAGGCGACTCTATTCATCGAATAAATAATTAGTTATATGTCAAAACTTAGGTGGTGCATGTGGAACTTGGCAATATGCAAGCAATTAGCAAGTTGGCAACAATAATTAATGAGAGGTGGAAAATATTTCTGCTATTTATTAAAGAAACAATTACAAGTATATAATTTCATTCTTTTTTTAATTTTCTCCCACTTATTTTAGTTGCTTATCTATTTGATTTTATGGTTATAATCCGAAGTAAAATGGAATTTGAACCCTTATCCAGCAATTTGCTATCCTCCATGATCGAGCAAATTGAGTCGAGTCACTTGGAATTTAAGAAATTTAAGATCTTTTAAATTTGAATTATTTTGAGATCATGTTATTTGATATTCGAATTATTGGGGCCAGTTTTTTTTTTTTTTGAATTTAAATTAATTTAAGATTTAGATTAACTTTTATAATATATCACAATCATTAATTAATTCATTTCTGGTTGGGGTCCTCAAGGACTTCAACATGCGAAACAAATTTGCGGTTCTTATCCAATTTGAGTCAACCAATGTGAAACTGTCTATCAGAAATATGTATCAGAACAAATTTAATTGGAAGAATTTATGCATATGAAAAATGAAATCTTATGCAGTTTAATTCAACAATGTGGACATTATCAAGCATTTCATACCTACCACGTAATAAATATCACATGCAATAGTTCACAGTCCGAGAGAGACATCAACCTACCGACAAGAGAGAATGTTCAGCAAAGTACAAGAACAAATGGGGTTTGGACAGTAACACTAGATATGGATCATTTTGTTTGTATCATCCAGAATTATTAGCTTCAATTGACAATCCCAATCTAATCAAATCAACGGTAAGTTCTTACAATAATTTTCCTACAGTATTTGGCCCAAAAAAAAAAAAGTTCCTACATTATATTAGAGTTGCTTTCACTTAAAGCTTATGTAAAACTGATATGTTACTGAATTATTAAATGTTGCTTTCAATATTGATGAGTATCCAAAAGTTTATCAGTTGATCCAATTCAATACTCCATGGTACTAAACATAAATAGCAAAACTTCATGCAAGTTTACAAAAATATGTCAAAACCAAAGGGTCTTCTAACTTTTTTTCTTACTATTTTTCAAGCTTTTGTTAATAAAATGGCTTTAATCTCCTTTCTTTTTTTCTTTTTTCCTTTGAAAACGTTGTAAAAAGCGTAACAAAATAAAGATTTCAAGTCCTGATATTCAGCGAACTATCAGGAAGGAATACAACAGAAACTGAGAAAACTCAGTGAACTAAAATGAAGAGTTTTAAGAAGCTTTTCACAAGTAAATCAAAAACCCATGGCCCTCAATCTTGTTTTAAGATTGGAGGAATGGGTTCACTCAAAGTACCTGATGTCATTCCTTCCCCAGAAGAAGACTCTCAGGAACTCAAGAAAGCTTTTCAAGGTTTCCTCTCTACCTCCATTATTTTCATTTTTCTTCCTTTATGTTAATGTTTATTGAGATCATTATTGTTATGATTTTGTTTTAACTTAAATTGTTGTTGTTGATTGTATTTGGAAACTGTTTACAGGATTGGGAACAGATGAGGAGGGGATAATTGGGATATTAGGACATAGAGATGCAAGTCAAAGGAAGAAAATTAGAGAAACTTATCAGCAGCTCTACAATGAAAGTCTCATTGATGCGCTTAAATCTGAACTTTCTGGTGATTTTGGAGTATGTTCTCTTCTTTGCTCCCATGTTTATTTCATAACAAGTTCCTTACTGTGCATTCCAACGTAGTTGTGTAGTTGATTGAATTAAGATCAATGTGAAATTCCCATCAAAGTTTCAATGATTGTCTATTGAAATTTATGCTGCAAATCCTTAGAGATTCAGAACCTTGAGATCTCATTATTGTGAAATTAGAACACAATTTTAACCATAGCAAAAAAGGAACCAAATCATATGATTCTTTAACAATAATTGTTAAGGCTTCCGGATTGGTCTAGCTGGTATTGTCTTGAAGCAATTGTATACATATCACACTTGTATACAAGAAAAGACCTGTCTTAGAGTATGTTTCGAAGTGAAGCACTCTTTTTGTTCTGATTTACTGTAAAAGGCAAATGATTGCAATAAAAGGTTTCTTTTAGGTTATTATAGAAAATTAGGTGTTCAACTTCATTTAAACTTTTAAATTTACATAAAAGACAGTATAAATTTACTTCATTTACAAAATTAGGTTATTCCAGATAGTGATTTCAATAAGAGGCTTTTTTTTTTAAAAAAAAAAGTCTTGTTGGAACTTTTTTTTGAAATTGCAATTACAAATTACAATCATAAGTATTACATCCATATATAAAAAATCATTAAATAATCAAACAAACAAACCAACCAACAAACTAGAACATAACTAGACAAATCCAATATAAAGTTGAACCAAACCCACATAGTGAGGTTTAGTTTTAGCCCTAGAATGATTCTTAAACTCGTTGAACTGTTCCCATGACTTTATGAAGCCCTTGATTTCCGAAAACTAATGTTCACATCAAGTGAATTCCTGTGGTTATACTTTAAAAATAAAAAGTTATGATGTTGAACAGAAAGCTGTCATTCTTTGGACATATGATCCTTCTGAGAGGGATGCCAGACTGGCAAATGAAGCACTGAAGTCAAAGAAGAAGGGTGTCAAGAAGCTAGAAATCATAGTTGAGATGTCATGTGCATCTTCTCCACACCATCTTGTGGCAGTAAGGCAGGCCTATTGCTCTCTCTTTGACTGTTCACTTGAAGAAGATATTGTAGCTTCAGTATCTATGCCCCTCAAAAAGGTAACTGTATTCAGAATCAATATGCACTTGATAAAGAAGGAACACTAACCTGTAATTGACTACGTGTTCATGTATATGAGGTTTTGGAGGATTGCAAAACAGCCAGTTGACTTGTTAGTTTTGTTGATGCACAGATTCTGTTGGCCTTAGTAACAGCCTACAGGTATGACAAGGAATTGGTCGACATGGATGTGGCCAACTTAGAGGCCGATAGGTTACATGAGGCCATCAAAACCAAGGAGCTGGTTCATGATGATATCGTTTATATACTCTCTACAAGAAATTTCTCTCAACTCAGGACAACATTTGAAAGCTACAAGAAAAAATATGGAAATCCTATTGACAAGGTTCTTCTTCCATCTATAAGCATTATGTAATCTATATGTATTATTTTTCCCTTTTTTTTCTTTTTTACTTTCCTTTTTACTGAGGAGATCTTTTGGCAGGATATCATGAAATCAGGGAAGGATGATTTGGAATCACTATTGAAAATGGTTATTTTGTGCATAGATTCCCCAGAGCAGCACTTTGCAGAGGCGAGTATATACATTTTTTACTCAAATCTTTAATTAATAAACCATGGGATCCATGTTGCTTCTGATCCATGATTATAGTAAGAAAAAAAGAGAAAATAAGAAAAGGAAACTCTCATCAACTCTGAAAATAGTTTGAAATAGTGTTTGGGATGAGATTCTCCATTCTGGCAATAAAATTCAATTGTTGCTTTCTATGCAAGAAAGGTTAAGCAGATGAAATTCAACTTTTCTTTTTTTTTTTTTCTCTGCTAAATCCCTAGCTATCTTTCATATTGAAGAGATGAGAAAATGTATTGGACCGCTTAGTTGTTAAAACGTAGGTGTTCAAAAATGTGGATTTCTGCTTAGTACTGCTTTCAACCTCAGTTTTGGGAGTACTTCTAACAGACTTGTTTTGTTTTTTCTGCATTTTGGGGTGGCTTCTAATCTGTTCAAACCATCGACAGGTTGTTGGAACTTCCATCATTGGACTCGGAACCGATGAAGATCCACTAACAAGAGCCATTGTAACTAGAGCAGAAATCGACATGATGAAAGTAAGAGGAGAATATTTCAACATTTACAAATCGAACCTTGATGATGCAGTTATAGGGGATACATCTGGAGACTACAGAAACTTCTTGGTGACCCTACTTGGTGGGAAGATGTGATTCATTCTGTCATTATACAGTATGAATTTGTGACTCTAGATAGTTTGCATTGTTATTTTAATATGATTTGTAATGGGAATACTTTTCAGGAAAAAACAATCAAACTCGAGTCCTGAATTGTTTATATCTGGTTTCAATCTGATTGCTTGTACATAGGTTTCAATAATGATTTCTCTGTTTCCTGTCTGATTGTTTACAGTATGAAGTTTTTAATTCTCTGCCAACTAAAACCATTACCAAGCACCCTGAAGCCATTTTCATTCTAATTAAAATTCATGCCCAGCATTGTCAATACGGTATACAAGCTATAAACCACTTCTTGGTTTAACAATTATAGTTTAAAAATTGACAAATAGGTATCCAAACTTTGATTCCATCATCAATTTGTACACTAAACAGAAGTAGGAAGTCTTGGTAATATGAAAGATGAAATGAAATGACATATATAGAAGAAAAGTCCGAAGAAAGAGCCATTTAACTATCTGGAATAAAATGGTGTCGAGGGATGTAACATACAAGGAATTAGAGCAAATAATCTTGAGTAAAATTACAACGAAGTTATCAATGGTTGTGTCAAGTTGGACTCCGGTTGTGTAAAACTCACTGGACGCAGAGACGGTTGGCGATAGGCTCCAACTGCTTTCACATAGCTAGCTTCCATCTGACCACTTTTCTCATCGAGTTCATCATTCTCAACGGCATTCTGTCCGTAAAATCAACCACTACATAGGTTAACTTAAATGTTTAGCAAGTCTAATTTTCATTCTAAAGACTATGCAATCATTTAATTACAATGTTGTGATAAAAGCTTATGAGTTTTAATTCCTATTGGTGTGCCAGTCCCTATTATTGGCAACAACGTTTCAAAGTAGATTACAATAATTGTAAATGACAAAAAATAAATGAATGAAGAAACTTTTCAATAGGAGAATGGATAGATAGCTTTGGAGCGGCAAAAACTATTTTCATTTTCCTTCAATGGCCTGTCTCCATACTCGTGAACATAACAAAGCATATAAACAATTTCAGCAGGTTTCCTTATCCCCAAAGGCCAAAGCTACCTACTAAACCTACATTTTCAATGCTTGAAAGTTATTCAGATAAATATGCAAATGGCAGATAGCTATCTCACAATGTTGACAAACTTATTCCTGTTATGAGTTAATAGAGATATTTAAGGAATCAAAACAGACCTGAATAGAGTATCCTCGAAATGTAGGAAGAAAGCGGATCTTGCAGTACTCATTGAACATTATGGTCAGCAATATAAGGGGAATGGTGGATATAGAAGCAGCTGGTTTCGATTTCAGTCCAAAGAGACCAATCATAGTAATTTGCATAAGAATGATTGCAACAAATATATAATGATGAATGAATGGCCAAAATTGACCACATGTGTCATAAACAGTATCGTATACATCCTGAATCTGCAAAATGTTACCATCAAAATTCTTACTGCTTTTAAGAAGGTGAAAATACCATGTTATAAAAGAACTGTTCACTCAGTTCCCACAACAAACCAAGTTAATATGGTAAAGGTCAGAAAGTTACCTGATTGATATACACAGCATAGCCTAGGAAGAAGTAGATAATAAGAAATGGGAGCAACAATGGAGCAACAACTGCATACACTATACCAATCAGTATGGAAAGGGAGACAGTCGGGATGATTCTAAAGTATGGTAGTGAATAAAGATATAAGTCTTTCTCCTTTCCTCGGCCATAGGTGTATGACTTTTTAAGAGTCCACAATAGTAAGTCAGGCTGAAGAATCTCCAAAGAAAATCCTGAGAGCCCCTCTGTCAAGATGTATGTCATAAAGAAATCTGCCTGGAACATGAATCAGACCAATTTTCTAAATTATGTGACAAAGACAATAATTTATGACCAAACTGCTTACCCATGGATGCAATTTTTTTGCAGAATCGACAAATAATTGAAGAACAGGCAAAGTTAATCTTATAAGCATCATTTTTTAATCTTTTCATCCTCATTATGCAAACAATTTTAATGCATTTCAGATATAAATCACACAAATTTATGAAGGAAATAAAAAGTGAGCATAATATTAAAAAATGACATATGAAGACAAAGCAAGCGTACTTGAGAAGAGACAAGGCTAGCAAGATGACCAGGCAAGTTCTTAGGATGACTAAAAGATTCTCCAATTTCATCAAGCAAGGACCCCGATATCAAGCTCAAAAAGAAAACATTTCCCACAAGAAAATAGAAAACCATGTTGCAAGCTTTGATCTCCGCCTTGCTCTTTGAGATAGAGCCACTCACTTTAGCCATGGCAAACATTGCAAATGGAACAATGCATAGAAATCCTTTGAGGATGGCACTGGGAAGGTAACCCGTCACTACAGAGGATAATCCTGGTCTATAGTATGATAAATATGTCAGATGAAACACTGTATAAGTTCATTAAGCAGTTAAATAAAGTGAAAATAAATTATAGAGACACATAACAACTCGTTTAGTTATATTGACAAGATCTCTAACTGATACTTTTTTGCAAATATGGGGAACAATTCTCATCATAGGGACCAAACAGAAAAACACACTAACGTATACATAAGTTAGAAATAAAATGCGTCATAATCCTTGTACCATATTCTTATTAGATACCTACTTATGCTGGAGATTTGATGAAGAAGCTAAATACAAATTATATGGCTCATGCATTTACAAGGACTTAAAATTCAAGATATACTATACAACAATATAATGTTCCCCATGATAGTATACCAAATAGATAAATATGATTGGTGAAAAATATTTAGCAAATACTGAAATAATATATATTTATCAAAAAATATATATATTGTATAAGGAAACCAAAAGATACTAATGTCAATGCTGTTATTTTCTGGGGGATTTTAGGTGGTCACTTAGGCCTTACCTTTTTCTCTTTAACAAGGTTGCATTCCATTCTTACAGTTTTCAAGAAATTTGAGAAATTAATTTACTCTTAGCATTAACATGTAGCTTACAAAAGCTAGTAACGAATCGTGTGGAATGTTATAATGCCTGAATGTATCAGCAAAGATCAAGAGTTCTTACATCAATTCTATAGCCCTGGCTGGAGGAAACCATCTCTTAAGTTTCTCAAATTTAGCTATTCCTTGAACAGCTGTGACTGGGACTGCAAAGAAAACTGTAAGAAGTGATGCAGCAAGAATCACTATGATTTTGTAAAGCGGTAAAAATTTATATTGAATTTCCAGATTCCTCCATGAGACATCACTTGGTTTTGGAGCTACTTCAGTGATCCATAGAAGTGGATTCATGTGATGCTGAGCTTGGGCGGCCAAAGCAGCTCCCCAGCGGGATTTGAATGTGACAAAGGCAACAGGCAATTCCTATAACAAACATACAAGGAACTCAGGATTTCTAACTTACATTCTCTGAAACATTCAATATCCTGAATTTACATACGCCTTGTTATAGTTATATTTCCACATGAGTTTTGGACCACAGCTATTTTCAAAACTGTTATCTCATTGTATTGTTGCCATAAGAATAATCATCTAGTGCGTATTATGGAATACTTCCAACCAAAAGCTTTTGTGCTCCTTAAGTACTTACTGATATATATTTTTTTTCATAGGGAATTGGGAGTAGCCAACAGTATCTTCCACCTTACATGATGAAGATGGTAACGATGGGCAGATGGCTCATTTTGTTCAAATATAGCACTATCAAGGTGACAGATCTTCAAAACCAACAATCTAACTGGCTCATCCATCATGCTGCTACAATGTTACTACTTGAAACGAGCCTTTTGGCTAACAAGAGTAATAAGAGCAAAAATTTCCTTCTGCTTCCAAATTCATTAAGCATAAAACTAGCCACTGTTCATGCAAGCATTCATAATGCACGTATATTAGAAAAAAAAAGGCCATCTCATTACATCAAGCTACAAAAAACACGCACACAAACTGAAGTTACCTTTTCTTTGAGCATATCTTCACTCTGTAAATGACGAATCTTATGACAGAGTTCCTGAAGCTTTTCCTCAAGCAGGGCTGCTTTCACATAATCATCTCGATATTCATCCAAGCATAACATTTCCTCATCTTGTTTCTTTACTGTACATCTCTTTTTTAAGTCTTGTATCTTCTGATGAATATATCTCACCTGGTTCTACATGCAAATCATTTGTAAGAAGTCTGTTAAAAGGGAAAGAAAACCAAAATAAAAAATCTCTTATGCAGCAATGATAACTAAAAATTTGTCAACAAGTAGTAGTTCACACATAAATAGGAAGATACCACTGTCTTAGTATTTTCAAGCAAGTATAAAGATAAAATGGAATATTGTGGTCAAACATGTTTTGTGAGAAGTGGAAATTTTTCAATGGAACCATTGGAAGTACATGATAAGAAAGCTATGTTAACCAACAATCTTTTAGAGCAACTTGAAATGGATGACTTAAAGTCCTTGAAAGGGAAAAAAATCAACCTATCTAGCAGTATACACCAACTCCTCAAAGAGAAGTAAATCCTTGTTTTCAGGGCCCGGATGCCCAACTCCTCTAAGAGAACTCAAACCTTGTTTCCATGGCCTGGATGCATTACAAAGTCTCTCATATCACATGGGGCCAGCCATCCTCAAAAGGGTTTTCCTCTTGTTAGAATTTTAGACAAAGGAACTCAGAGCACTAAAAACCCTAAAAACTCTTCTCAAGAAGAATGAAAGCGAAGTTATTTGTATGTCTTTTAGTCAGAATTCCATGATATTACTAATATGTTGAAGTACAATAATGGATAAGATTTCTTGAATGAGACCAAACTGATGAAAGAAAATTTATGATCTCAATGCAAGCTGGTTCGAAAGGAATGCCCCTTGTAACACAATTTATCATTTTTTTCCCTGCATCTGATTTATGTCTTGAAGAATTTAGGTGGCATAAAAGTAGAAACTAAGATAAATTTTCCCAAAACTTCTAAAATAAATTGATCCTGGACACAAAAGTGTGATCAACATGATCCTTGAAAAAAAAAATGAAAATCAATTTTCAACTTCTGAGAGCTGTAGGAGACATGATACGCTAGAGCTACACAAGAAATTTTCTCTTAAGGATTCAAACAATTACACTTTAGTACACAAGTTAAGCTGTTGCAGTTGATAACATTAGAAAGTGCTGCCTAGTGTATAAATAAAGCTGTCCAAAATTATAATGGCACTTAGAGAAGTTTTGCCATAGGAAAGATATTTTAACTACAATCTTTATCCAATGCTGTTAAAGCTCAATTTATTCAAGTGATCATGAAGATCATTTCATGACATGTAGCACAAAGTAATTTTCTGAAAATGTTTATTTTTGAATTTTTGAAAACTTCATCATTGTATGACAGGTGGAAGTAACAGAAAAACTGCAGGACATAGAGATATCTAATTGAAGACTATATATTAAACACTTACCAACAGATCTTCAATGTCTTTCCCATCATATAACATTTGGTAAGAATGATAACTGTGAGGATGATGTTTAGAAAAGAAGTGATCAACACTACAGCCACGAGCCTTGTGTTCATTGCAGAATGGAACTTGTCGAACTAGAGTCGTAAACTGATCAGGATGATGCTTCAGGTTCTGCACCTGTTGAATCCTTTTCACCAAAATCTCAGAATATTCCTGGAGATGGAAATGGTGTAGGAAGTCACCTGTTAAGTCAACATTTCTGAATGCTAAAGTACAAGTCAGGACCAGAAGTAACATATGGCAATTATCCACCATTATTTTCAGTCGTGAGTTAAAATTTCTCAAGTAAAATGGGAAGTTATGAACGCAAAGCTTACCCTGTACAAAAGGTATAATCCATAAAAAGATATAAACCACAAGCATATAAAATGCACCCAAAGCCTGAGAAACAAGAAGCCAAACTCTGTGATTAATACATTGATTATATTGTTGTTAATAAACAGATAGAATCAATAATACCATGCTGAAAAAGTATGACTGGTAAAATGCTAGACCTTTTCACATGTACAAAGGTAAGACAGGAAAAGATGAATGTCTGCACTTTCAATCCAAGTATAAATTTCTTTTCTTCTGTAGAGTTCAATGATTCTAAGAATTCATTTAGTGATACGAAGGCCGCCTTTTTTGCTGGCATTGAATGCTTTGTAGAAACACTCACCACAGTAGAATCTTAAATAGACAACAGTATAGCTCGCTGCTGAAATCAAGAAACAAAAAGTATACATATTCTTACATTATAATTAAGTGTGAAAGTCTTACATGTTAGAACCTCTTTTGATGTTAGATATTGTGCAAGAATCCATGGAACGGTAACTTCCAGATGGGTCACTCTGTCCAGCATAATTAATCGGTAGGAGTATCAACAATCCAACAAGAGAGCAAACAGCAAAGAAATTGATCCTGAAAAGACAAAAGAAAAAGGCATACTTAAAAACCAATCAGAAGTAACATTGTCAAGGAAAAAAGGAAAAAGGCATTTGCTAGATCACTCCAAGCAGTCATTATACTTTATGATGATATCAAACATGTAATTTCCAACATACCTGGAGAGTTAACTGCAGTTATAGTTTGTGTTGCACATGAAGGATCACTTCTGTAATAATATTAGCCGTTCTATATAATCTTAGAATGCATCACATCTGTGTAAAGGTCATCGAAGTTAATAGAAAAATGCCTACGTTACATCTACTTACATGAACTCTTCAATTTACACAAAGTATCCCTGCCCTACATTTCATTAATATATATATATATATGAGACAGTTTAAACTCAAAATTAACTGTGTTGTATACATAGTTGTATGATCACGCACCAGATACTGACTCTCTATATCACAAAATATTATCATAAAGGATTTTATCAAATTAAATAAGGTGCGAATTCGGGTTTCATAAAATCAAACAAGATCAACAAAAACAATTACCATTGTTTATGATCATTAAATCTCAATGATCTAATGAACGTATAACTTCTTAATTAAGAAAATAATAAAGATAAAGAGAGATTAATTTGTATAGGCTAAATGTAGTTGTAGTAATACACTGACCCGAACTTGAAGAGTCTTACAACAACAAGAGCATCAAGCCCACTGGTTGCAAGGATTTCATCTTCAGTGAAACGAAAGGCTCGAGGGATCCAAGAAAAGGAAGGAAAGAAACGAGCCAGAGAGAAAGGAGGGGGGAAGATGATCGGATGTCGTTTGGAAAGAGGACGAGGGTAGTATATGGGAGCGTTTGAAGGCTGTTTCTTCAAAATGGAGAAGAGAAACAGAATCACTAAGGCCAATCCTATGTTAATGGCTGCCGAAGCCAAAAGGCTCTGAGGATTCATTTGAGAAAAGAGAGAAAAAGAAAGGGTTAAAAAAGAAAGAGAGAATAGAGAAAAGAAGAAGAAGAAGAAGAAGAAGAAGAAGAAGAAAGGGGTTGCTTTGTTAGCTTTGGTATGGTACGTGGCAGTGCTGCATGCAGGTGAGGAAGTGATTTTCTTGGAATTTTTAGTATGAAAGTGAGACACCTGTAATAGAAAACTCCAAAATAGGTGGCTCAACTTATATGTTTTTGGAGTCATATCCTACACACACTTTCCTTTATTCTTTTTGTTGCGGACGGAGGGTTGTAAAAAATAAAGTTTACACAATGACTTGCATGTAATTGAAGATCTTGTCGTATTTGAAGTTAATTCATTAGTTTTATTTAGAGGTATCCGTATATTGAAGATAATTAATTATTGGATATGGAAGATCTTATTCTATGAAGTTTTAATAGTTTTATTTTTTTTTTCAAAGAAAAGGGTAATAGTTTTATTTAGAGGTGACAAATAAACATAAAAAATACCTGAATTCAAAACAATCCAAACCGGAAAAAATCTGAATTTGTATATGAATCAGTACTCCATACCCGAACATAATCTGATCCTGCCAATTTGACACCTCTGTTTTTCTTTAATCAATTTAGCTCAGTCTCATTTCTTTACACTCTGGACAGACACCAAGCAGGTTATATGTATGCCAACAAAAAAATGCAGCCCCATAGACGTGCCTAGCTCCCATTCCCACCCTGGAGAAAATCCTCTACTCTCAACAAGCAGTGCAGAGAGGGAGGGCTTCTTGAGGGAGTTTTGGATGGGAGTGGAGGCTAATAACGGAGAGGTGGTCAAAGCTGGAAACATGAATCCTAAGCTAAATGTTACAACTGAACAGGCCCAGAGTTAGACTTTTCCTTAAGCCTAATGCCTCTTGCTCCTAAATTTACAATTTTTTTTTGTCACAAATATTTCTTAACATGTAAATTTCCTGTTGGGCCCCAAGGATTTAACAGGCTGAATTTTTTAATTTCAAGAAATGAGTCTGCTGATCGAATACAAAATTCTCGAAGGATATTGGGAAAAGGCAGAAAATACATAGATTGGAAAGGCTAACTATCGTCTCAATGCCCTGTATCTCTTCTGGCCGCTTAAGACCCAGGCAGAACATAAGTCAGATAATTCAAACAAAAAACAGCAAACTACAATGACAACCAACATAGAATATGTTCTTCAATCATCTATCATGCCCTATCCTCAGATTATCAAAATCTTTTACCCATCAGTGTTCTCCGCCATTCTCTGGGTTCTCATCATATTCATCATCATTATCATCTTCATCCTCATCAATGTCCTCATCATCATATATATTGCCTCGAGCAAGTTTCCCGAGCTCCAATTCCCCATCATCTTCATTAAGGAACTCCAGCCCATATTTTGTGTCCCTATGCTTAACTAAAAGCCAACGCAACAGTCTGTCTTCCTTGTTCAGGTACTGCAGCTCCTTGTTGATATTGGGTGTGGCCATCATTGTCATCTGCATGAGTTGACCCTATATACATGATATAAACAGCAGTTAGTTCAATTGATTACTTCATAAATAAATTTCTAGGCCAAAAAGACCAATTTGTCTAAACATTTCTAGCTCATGTTAGAAACTTGATATAATACAAGTGAGCAGGAAACAACTAGTCACAAACACCATAACTAAAAAACAAAGAATTTTTGGCTTAAGTATTGACAATCTATACATATTTTCGACTGGTTCTTCCTATACAACCAAAGTCAAGTTTCAATCAGTGAAACAAGAAAGTACGAAACAAATACACATCATAATGGTAATAGGATAATTTTTCCCATATCTAGATGGAGTACAATGAGACAAATCCATCTTTACATGTAAAACAGCACACCACCATATCGAGATATCTACCAGTCTTTAACATGTTCCATTTTTCATTGCAAATGTATCTATAGGAGTTAACTCCTTTTTTTATTTTTTTATTTTTGTAAATCTTAACGATGTTTGAACAATGCACAAACTACTTATGCTCATAGGCTGATTATAGACCACCAAAAGAAAAGACTTATGTTATTTTAGATAAATCAAAGCTGGATTACATTTCAATGTTCAGTAGTCGTTGCTCATTACAATCTAAACTTTGCAAAGGTAAATAACTACAAAAACAACTCCACATAAAGCAGAATGGATACACTTCAAAAGAAAGAGGCAAAATCAAACAATAAATACACAATCTTCATCCTCTAAATGCTTAAGTCTTTATTTAAAAAAATAAATAAATAATAATGACAGATAAGATCATGTAACCTGATAGTATCTTCCAGAGAGCTTCTTGATGCCATACCCCAATTGAATGGTCCCAAATGATTTGATCTCAGTGAGAACCCCATTTCTGCTATAGACATGTCTTCCTACTCGGGCTACTAAGTCCATCAGCCCCTCCTTCCTCACATGGGGCTTCAACAGAAGCATACAATCATACAAAGGCATTGTTTTCCCTCAATCACTTTAAAACTATAACCACCAACCCTATAAAACAAAAAACAAAAATCGAAGCTAAATAAAACAACATCAGGAAATGATAATTAGAATTGTAATATACTCAAACATTGATTTCAGACTCCTGAGCTGAGCCAAATAAAATACCCATCAACAAGAAATTGACAAAACACATTTTGGAAGAACAAACCCCATAAAATTAATCTCAAAACTTAAAAAAAAAAAAGAGTAGAGATTGAAAAATACCTGAAATCGAAGGCTGAAGCAACAAACCACCCAAATTGGAGTTGGAACTAAACCCCTAGTCAAGAAAAGAGAACAGACAAAAGGGTGTTTTAGGGGTTTTCTTATAGGGTTCAAGGAATCGGATTGAACTTCAAGAATTAAAGTGCGAAAAAAACAAGATTAAAGCCCAAATAACTAAGTGGGTTTGTGAAGCACCTTTTTCTGGGCTAACAGGGCAATGAATGGGGCTTGGGTCCCGTATTTCCGAGAAAAAAAAAAAAGTTGGATAAATATAATTATTTAATATTTGATATATTAGCAGTATAAATTTTTTTTTTTAATTTTTTGATCTAAAATTCTTACTGTTATTGGATACAATAATTTTTTTAATACAATTTTTTTGAGTTGCATCCGGATAATTTATAATTTTTTTTATATTTAAATAGAGATATGACAATCTTCTAATCTCTTTTTTTTTTTTCTCAATATAATCCTATAAATAAAATTATCCTAACAAATAAACAATAATAAACAGAAACAATTACTCCAACTCTTATAAAATTTTCTGCTCTGGCTCCAGAGTTCAGACTATATCTACGATATTATATAAAAAATTATTTTTTAATTAATTATTTAAAATTTTATTTATATATATATTTATATAATGATATTTTTAAATATTTATATTTAAAAAATAATATTTTATATTTTAAAAAATAATAGTTTATTAATTTCAATTAGGGTCGGAGGTCATGTGTGATTTATATAGTATCGGATCAAGGTCGAGGTCAGATTCGAGTATGAAAAATAAAAAAAAAAATTTTTGATAAGGTCGAATTTGGGTTTGATAACACATAAACTCGCTCCAAACTCGACCCGATGCCAACTCTATATCTAACCATCCTTTCTTTTTTTTTTTTTTTTTTTTCATTTCAGAACCTGCTTATTTCCTCAGTAATTTGTTGCTTTTTTTTTTTTTTTCATTTTCATTCGTATCTCTCTTTGCATACACGCACAAATTAAATCCCATGAAGCAGGTGAAGCTAGCTAGGGTCCCACCAAGACAGAGAAGAAAGCACTCTCGAGGCTTAATTTGATTACGTATAAAAAGCTGAAGAAGGCATCAATGGATTGGATCGATGATGGAGAGAATGTCAAGTGTTTCATCGCTCAGATTCTTCTCTTTCCATGTTTGTTGGAGTAGTAAATTAGTGATAGTTTCATGTTCTTCTCTAACATACCAGATAAATACTATTGTATTTATCTAAAGAATTGATAGATTTTCTCGTTACTTTGAGACGGCTACCTAAACCTTTTCAGCTAATTTCTAGAAGAAAAAGATTTTTCATATAATTTTGAGATAATATTAAATGTTAAAATATAAAAAATCTTTAAATATTAAAAAAAATATAACTAAACTCTTATATTATTATTATTACACCTAAATATGTCTCAACTCTTATTTTTCATTATCTAAATCATTTTAAGACATGTGGACTCAATGATGTGACAAAGCAATGTACATGTGAATACAATGATATACACATGACATAAAAAGTGTAAAAGCTTTCAAAAAGAATGTCTAACAAAAAAATTTAGCAATAAAATAAATAATATATAAAATTAATAAAAAAGAAATATCTATATTTATATGAAACTTAATAAAAATGATTAATTATTTAATTAGTGAAAAGAAAATATCTATATGTAAAATTATTATTTGTTAATAAAAAGAAAAAGATTACATGTAAAATTTATTAAAAAAAAAGGAAATTTTTATATTTATATGAAAATTGATAAAAAAAAATAAATTATTTGATACTATAATAAAAAAAATAGTGAATAGGAAATATCTATATGTAAAATTAATAAAAAAGATATTTTCTATATTTATATTGAAATTACAAAAGTGATTTTAATTTTCTTTTTATTGATTAGCATATAAATATATACATTTTTTATTAAATTTTCATATACACAATTTTCTTTTTATTAATAAATAATTATTATTTTATTATATATATTAAAAATACAAGTAGATCGAAAATATTTATTATTTGATACTATGATTGATAATAATTAAAAAAATCTAGATGTAAAATTAAAAAATTAAAATTACTTTTATGACCTCTAATTTATTTATGTTTTAAGATAATTATACATATTATTTGATTAAATGTACATATTATATATATTTATATATATGATAATCACTTTTAATTTTGAGCTAACACTCATTGAACATTAAAATTATAAAAATAATTTTTGTTCTTATTAATTTAATATATTGTTATGTATTTCTAATAATTATTTATTGTTATAGTACTAATTAAAAAAATTTTAATTGATAATATTTTTTGTTAGATCACCCTTTTTTAAATATTTCATTTTTGTATACTCTTGATGCCATATGTATATCATTATGTCCACATGTATATTTTTTACTGCATTATTGAGTTCAATGTCTCAAAATAGCTTATATAATGAAAAATAAAAATTGAAGGGCTTAGTTAGATGAAATAATAGTATCAAGACTTAGTTAAAATTTTTTAAATATTTTGAGGGCTTTTTTCATATTTTAACTATATATAAATTGGTACCCAAACAAAAAAAAATTACCAATTGGTGCATGAACTTTCAAAACATATAATATTTGATCCTTGAACTAACACTGTTAACTAATATATCCACGTGGTATTTGATCAATAAAATCATACCACGTGTATGACACATATATAATAAAAATTTAACTATTTTTTTTAATTTTCACGTGGATGCTATGTAACATAATCCGATCGAAAAGCAATGGTAAAAGGGTAAAAGGGTGGATCAGGTTCAGCGTCCACCTCTCCCTTCCCCTCCTTTTATCTTCCCATTGTTTATTGATTGCCATGTGACATCCATGTGCGTGGAAATTGAAAAAAATATTTAATATTTTTACACATGGCATAATTTTATTGCTCAAATGTCACGTGAATAAATTGGTTAACAGTATTAGTTCATAGACCAAACTATTTCATAGTTTAAAAATTCAAGTATCAATTTGTATAATTTTTTTGTTTAGGTATAAATTTATACATTTGCTGAAAGTTTGAGTGCTAAAACTATAATTAACCCAAATACATACAGTCCAAAGTCAAATTAAAATATGGGGGACACTTTCAAAAGAAAAGTAAATGATATACAATTATATATGCTACAATACTAAGAGATTGTTAAAAGAAAAAGGATAAATAAAAGAAAGAAGTGATCTAAATGATAAAAAATTTAATTTTTTTTAGTAAAATTTTGATTTTAAATATTATAAATAAAAAATAAACATTTGAAGAGCTTATTTTCTTAATAAAAATTTGATTCGATTTTAAAATAATTAAAATTTAAAGTGATTATCATATGAAAATATTTAAACAAAAAATATTTGGTCAAAAAAAAAAACGCATGTTTTCCTTTTACCAGTCTATTCTGATCAGCGAGATGAGCTTCTTTTTGTCATCAAATAAAATTTCTTTTAAAATAAGACAAACATAAAGTTCGAATCTCTCTTTTGTTTTTCATAAAAAAAATTCTATAGCGTTTGTTTTCTATTTATTGGATTGTAAGATAACAAGAGATAACCCCTAAAAGTTCATACTCTTGTTTATTTGATTATATTGTTATTTTTTTTTTTTTAACAAGAAAATTATGGTCAAGAATGTAATGAAATAAATCAGACGCTGTATGATAAGATATTATATTATATTAGCAATTTAACAATAGGCTAGTCTAACTTGTGCCATGTAAATTTAAGTGACAATTCAATGACACAAAGATGTCCTTGACTCTACTTAAAATATGCCCAAATTTGGTCGCATAAAATTTTTTTTATTACACTAATGTATGGCTTTCATTATGTTGAGATTAAATATTTTTTATTTTAAAATATAAATTATTTAATTTTTTATTTTAATAAAAATTATATTTATCTAGCTCACTTGATCATTTGATTTTGATTATTTTGAATAAAATGTCATGTGTCAAATTATATAAAGTAATGACAAAGATATTTCAGGAATTTAATAAATGGTTAATTTTATATTATTCAATACGTAATTTAATAGGGGTATTATAATAATTTTAAAACAAAAAGTACATGTCATCTTCTTATGAAACACTTATAATGCATTTATGTAATTACGTATGAAGGGCATTATAATAATTTTAATCAATTATGGTAAAATGGATATTTTCATAATTATGGTATAAGGGTATTATAATAATTTTGATTAATAATGGTAGGACGAGTACTTTCATAATTATTATAGAAGGACATTATAATAATTTTAACTAATTATGATAAAAGGATATTTATGTAATTATGATAAAAAGTGCATTATAATAATTTTGACTAATTATGAGAAAAGTGATATTTCCGTAATTATAGTAGAAAAGTATTGTAGTAAATTTGAATATGTGTTAACATCATATCAAATAAATAGAGGGGCATTAACGGGAATTATTTTAACATATGTTATTTAACATTTAATATGTAATTTAATAGGGGTATTATAATAAATTTCAAATAAAATTTCACATGTCAAGTTTTTATGAAGCAATTACAAGGGTATTTTAGTAATTTAATATGTAATTAATTTTATATTATATTAAATTTTCATATGTAATTTAATAAGGGTATTATAATCATTTTGAAATGAAATACCACATGTCAATTTCTTATAAAGTACTAATAAAAGCATTTTTATAACTATAATATAAAAATATTATAGTAATTTTTTGCCAATTATGATAAGGGTATTTTAATAATTATAGTAGAAGGAGTATTATAGTAATTGTGACAAATTATAATAGAATGCGTATTTTTATAATTATTGTAAGAGGGTATTATAATAATTTTACTAATTATAAAAAAAATATATTTTCATAATTATAATAGAAAAACATTATAATAAATTTGAACATGTGTCGATGTCATATCAAATAAATAGAGGGCTATTATAGTATTTCGAGGAAATTGTTTTAATTGATTTTGAAGCAAAAGGCACATATCAACTTCTTATTAAGCACTCGTAAGGACATTTTTACAATTATAATAGAAGAGTATTACAATAATATTAATCAATTATGGTAGGACTTTTTTGTAATTATAGTAAGATGAT